GTTTCAAATTTGGCACCATCAAAATCAACTCTTGGATATCCTCCTCCTTTTCGTCAGGAAAATAATACTAATAATAATGTTCAAGCACATTCAATAAATATTAATAATATCCCAATAATGTCTCCATCACGACAAGAACATTACGAATTTCATCATGATAATAGGCAAAAAACAATAATGTTTGAGATTGTTGTTGCTTCTATGAATGAAATGGTTGAACTTTGGAAAAGGAATGATCCAATTTGGGTGGAATCATCAAGTGAAGGGAGGTGTTCTATTCATCGTGAGAGTTATGAAAGAACATTTCCAAATCCAAATCGACCTTATTACCAATCACCAGCTACTCAAATTGAATCATCAAAGGATTCTGAAGTTGTGTCAATGACTGCAATTGAGTTAATCCATAATTTTCTTGATCCAGTAAGTTTCTTGAACTCTTTCATGTTATAATTGTTCAGCTCACATGTGATATTACCTGCTTTGGCCCTAAAATGATGTATGGCTTTAGAACGTGTCAGTACTAGGATTTAAGGCTTATATATATATATATATATATATATATATATATTCATTGCTCATATATGCTTAGTATATTAAAGATTGTGCGTGTGCTAGTCACTTTTTGGATAGATTTTTGAAAAGTAGCTAGTGTTTGAGAATTTGTTGAAAACTTACTACTTTTGATATGGAAACATACCATGTTAGTATCGATCATGGATTTCGAACTTGAGCATGTGAAAGATCAAATATATTTTCAATTTTTTTTGAAATCTAACATATTGTCATGAATTCCAAAAAGATGGCTATTTTTCAATAGGAGATACGATTTTAATTTTTAATTTTATCCCATACAATATTGATTAGGATGAGTTTAGATGGAGTGATGGACATGGACAAATGAGTACTTATTTTGAGACATAGTTATTATTGTCATTGTTTTATAATTAATCATATACGTAAAAAAAATATTGATTTGTATATGCAGGTCAAATGGATGAACTTGTTTCCTACTATAGTCACAAAAGCTAGGACTATTGAAGTTCTTGATTCTGGGACTTGGGGAGGCTCTATACAATTGGTAAGATACTAATACATCTTTTAGATCTTCCTCCGTAGAGATTAAATAAATATTATAATTGACTCATAAAATGATCTAATTTTTTTCTTGATTCTTGAATACAGATGTATGAAAAGTTGCATATTTTATCTCCTCTAGTTGAAGCTAGAGATTTTTTCTTCATACGTTGTTGTAGACAACTTGATCCAACAACATGGATCATGATGGATGTTTCATATGATTTATTCAATGAGATTCAAAGCGGTGTACCTTCTTATTCTTGGAAGTTCCCTTCTGGTTGTGCAATTCAAGATATGGGCAATGGCCAAAGTAAGGTAAGAATCATTTCCTCTCTCTATATCACTATTTATATAAAAGGAAAATTATGTGCATTAAGATCCCTATATACATGGGGTCCATATTACTAGGGTCTATTATATGTAGTCTTATTTTGTATTTGTGCGTGAAGTTGTTTCCACAACTCAAACGGGTAACATATATATCACTATTTATATGGAACTTATTTCCTGAAGAGTATGCTACAAGACGTAAATATTTACCGGCACCTATGTCATGATGTCTATTGTTCTTAATATGATATAAGAATCAAACTATCTTTATTCTCAGATAATCCAATTTTGGATCCTCATGTTATGTTGCTAATTCATGCTCCAAATGATCAGCGTTGGGACGTGCATCATGGGTTGTTTTAAGTATCCCCATATTAGTTTAAAGAATCAAACTATCTTTATTCTCAGATAATCCAATTTTGGATCCTCATGAAAATGATCTTTTTGTCCGTGTATAGCCTTGGAAAATCCCCAACAAACTTATAAGTTATATTTTAGGATTGAGTTAGATTCAATAGCCATTTTTTTAACATGTTATTGGAGTCGTCAGACCTATCACTATTCTTTATGTAACAATGTGGAACTCCGATCCATACTATGTTGTTCATGCCCTAGATGTTTGAATCTAAACGAGTGAGGATGAATATTTGTCTCCTCATATGGTCCTAATCAGTCTTTGCCTTATAGCATCCACTGCTAAGAAAACACGAATTTTCAACATACCTTCCTAATTATTTACCAACGAGCTAATTATTTTGATTCTGTTTTCTGGATTATTTTTACTCTTGCAGGTTACTTGGGTGGAACATGTTCAAGTATATGAAAAAAATCAAGTACATCATATCTTTAGAGACTTGTTGTGTGATCGTCAAACATACGGAGCTAAAAGATGGATTGTTACACTTCAAAGGATGTCTGAGAGATATAATTTTGCTATGGGTGCAATATGCCCTACTAGGCATGATTTTAAAGGAGGTTCGATTTTATTTCCTTTTTATTTATTTACTACTTTTTCAGATTTTAATTTATAATATAAGATAAGGATATATTGCAAATCTTTCATCACTTCAAGGCGGTTTTCATTAAAAATATATATTTTTTTAAAATAGAACCATCTTTAAAGGTATGTTTCACAAGATATATATATTAAAAAAAAACTACATATTCGAGTAGAGATTTTTTTTTCTTTTCTAAAATGGCCTGGAACATGATCCATTCTTTTATTTTCAGGGGAAGTCATTTTTCTTTACAATTTTCTCAATTTTTAATTGAAATGTGTCATTTTCAAAGTTTTCTTTTTTTCCTTTAGGGGGTGTGTTTGGTATGATTCGACTTTAAAAAAAAAAAGTAGTCTTATTTTGATGTTTATTGACTTGTCAGAAAATAACTTTTAGGGAAAATGTTTTCCAACCGAAGGAGCAAGAAAAATGGTCGTATTTCTCATTGTTTAGGAAAAATCATTTTCCTTCACAATCATCTCAACTTTGAACATTATATTGACGCTTTAACGACACTCGGACATCACTATCACCTTTAACATGTAAAGATCTCATCATACTTTCTGGTCCGTAAATATTTTTTATCAATCTTCAATAGAAGTTTTTTTTTTCTGGAAAATATATTCACTCTCCAACCAAATACTGATGAAAATAAAAATAGAATTCCTAAAACAAATTATTTTTCAAAAAATCAAAAAACACGCACTTACCTTTTTTTTTCCTTATTAGTATTGTGAATTTCGCTTTCCTAATATTTTATCTTTCGATTTTAGTATTACATGTTGGCTCCAATTATATCATACTATTTGTTTTACATATATGAATTTTGATATACTTTATTTGAATGAGGATCTACCAAAAACAACATTTCTACATTCTCAGGGTAGGGATATACCCTTCTCAGACCTCACTTGTGGAATTACACATGATATATATATGTTGTTGTAATACTTATATTTTATTTTTATTTTTATTTCAATGTTTAATTATCTAGAAGGGCTGAAAAATACAATACAAATATCTCAAAGGATGGTGAAGAGCTTTTTTGAAATCCTAAGCATGACAGACAACTTAGATTTTCCAACTTCATCACGGCTCAACCGCGGAGATAGGATTTCAATAAGAAAAAATGAAGAAATTGTCCAACCAAAAGGCTTTATTGCCACTGCTGCTACTTCTTTGTGGCTTCCTCTTTCATTCCAAGATGTCTTCAATTTCTTCAAAGATGACAAGACAAGAAGTCAGGTATGTATTCAAACCTCTTTATAATAATGACAATTGTTCAGATAATTTGTTTAGTTGTTACAACGAAATATTATTATTGAGAATAATAAAATATTGCATGATATTGATATCGGTTCCAAATAAAACTTTGATGTTATATTCAATTGGCCAAAGGTATTTCAAAAACAGCCTACCTATCTCCAAGAGGTAAAGGTAAGGTTTGTGTATATTCTACCCTCTCTAGACCTCACATTGTGAGATTACGCATGATATGTTATTGTTATAGTATATTATAGGTGAAATATTGTTATAGGGAATGATTGTCATAATAATAATAATAATAATAATAAGGTATGATTGTATATATCTTTGCATTGGATATTCAATTTTTAATGCAATGAGCCAAACATCTGATAAAAAAATAATTACACTTTTAATCCCTGTATGACTTGTTAACCAAAGGACCCCTAAAAATACTCATATAGAAATTGACTTTTTTCAATCCCTGTAAAAATTTATTGTGAAACTCTCAAATATTTCAAAAAATATCATAATTTTAAAATAAAAAAATAGAATGAGTTCAATGTTAAGAATTTTTTAAACCATTAAGTTGTAGTCTTGAATTTGATTAATTTGCTAATATTGTGTTCCCATGTTATATTATCTACATGTTTGCTAGCCTTGGCGTTAATTGTACATATTATTTTAAACAATGCTCATCTCACAAACTTAATTTTAACAATTAAATTATGATATTGTTTATCGTTTGATTTTTTTTCCAGTGGGATATTTTGACCGGTGGAAATAATGTGATTGAGTTAGCTCAAGTACTAACAGGAGTTCATCCAGGAAACAGTATTACAATCATTCAGGTATTTTTCATATTTATTACTTATAATTTGCTATTTTATGCTTAAATTATCTAGTAATAATGACATTTTTCAAGAATCAAATAATATTATTTATGATTGGATTCTTCTTTTTTCATATGTAGAAATACCAAAGTTTCTAACTTGTATCTTTTCATCCTTTAGGTCTTTTAATCTTTGATTATTGAATCAAAAGACATTTTCTATGGTCCAGTTTCACTTTTGACTTTTAGTCAGTTAACAATAAAAACACACACAAAAACAAAGACTATCTTTTGTCACATTTAATTTATATATAGTGATAATTTGAAAATCTTCTTCACATATCTTTTTTAGTACTTCCACTGATATTTTTTAATTGTTGTAATGTATATGCAGCCTTGTATGCAAAAGGAAATGTTAGTGCTTCAAGAGACAAGCATTGATAGTATGGGAGCATTTTTAGTCTATGCACCCATAAAGTTACCAACGGTCACTTCAATTGTCAATGGAGGTGATGCAACAAAAGTTCCCATTTTGCCCTCAGGTATCATCATAAGTCCTGACGGTCGCCTCTCCTCGGATAGGGACAGTACTGCAAATGCAGAAAATGGTTCAATTTTGACAGTGACTTTTCAAATATTGATTAGTGGTCATAATAATCCAACCTCCCAGAAGCAACAAATGGAGGTAGTGGCTTCTGTTCATTGCCTTTTGAGCAGCATAATTTTAAAAATCAAAGCAGCATTGGGTTGCTCTGATTTATGATTGTTTAATTTCATGTTGTTTGTTTGTTTGTTTTGAAAATTTTAAAACTTAGACAATTGATGGTTTCGAAGGATGATGCATTCCCTTCTTTGTGACTTTTGAAAATCTCAAGACTGTGAGATATGTGTTGTTGCAATTATCATTTATAATGATACACTTATTTGAGACTTCTCATTTGTTTGGGTTTTCCCATTTTTATTATGTTTGGTTTTCTCTGTTCATTGTTTTTGTTCTTTTTCATGTTACAATATCATGCCTTCCTGATTTTGCTAGTTTAATCTAGTGGAGTAGTATATAAATAGTATCCATGTTTAGGTGGAATAGTATATAAATAGTATCCATGTGTGGATGGAATTATATGTTGTGAACACGGATAGCCCATACACTAGCCAAATTGTTGGGTCTAGGGCTAAACCACGAAGAGGCTCAAGAATTAGACTGCCCAACAATATATTTACTTGGGGTCTAGGTTGAGCACCCACTCGTCTTGCGTACACACTCCTTACTTGCTTGCTTACTTTATTTCTTTCTTGGCTAAAACTCAAATGGCCACCTCTATTTTAGGTGGTGATCAATGGAAGGATCTAGTGGAGGATATGTACTATTCTACTCTAGATTGTTCCTCCATCTACTTAATTTTAGAACTATCCCTTCTAGAATATTGCTACACTTTTCTCGGAACAATCATTCTAGATATATCCTTTCATTTCTTTACAACTTTGAATATTCTAGATACTTCTCTGGCATGTCATAGATATTAACTAAGTTGGTGATGAATTCTTAACACTTTCTAGAGTCTAAGTTTCTCATCCTCCATTCTTAGTTACTTGTTATTTCAGTAGTTTCCTAATTCAATTGTTTAAGTGTTGGTGTTGTATTTTGGTTATGAGTGATTATACAGTACTGGAGTGTTTGTGTTGAGAATTCTAGTTTGTTACATTATACGTAAAAAATTAATGACGTGGTCAGTTTCCTCCGCGCTTTTAATGCTATACATTGTTTTAGTTTTTTTCAAAAAATATTTAACTTGTAGCCCGCGTTGACATACTTCAGACAAACCTCTGTCTCCTCCTCCTCCTCCATTTCTCTTCTACCAACTCCATTTGTAGTTGTTCATTTTCCATGTTTGGTTATAGTAGGCACACTAGTATTTGTTTTTTTGGCACATTAGTGTCGACCTGTGTCCTTAGAATGAAAAAGGCAACAAGAAAATCTGCTACTTGGTTTCCTTCTGTGTAGCGGCGAATGATTTGGATTCCAGCCCTCTTCTTGTAGTTAATGATTTTGTCCACAAACTGGTAAAGCTTCAGGTAGAAAGGATCGTCCTTTGTCACCATGTTGGTTGTGAATTGAGTCCACACCATTTCACTCCAAACTCCACTTCGTTTAGCGATATTTCTACTGCTACATTAAATAACCTTGACTATCTCTAACAATTCCATATATACAATCTTTGCCCATATTTTTGTGAGAAACTCCCATCGATGTTCACTTTGATTGTACCATAAGGAGCCTTGTTCCACCAAACTTATTTCCATCTCTTACAGTTCTAAGCCTTTCTACTATATTGCAAGGATAAGTCCATTTTGTAATGGGCCGGACTGATTGGACTATTCTAAGTCAGAATAGCCCTTATATTCTAAATATACTCATTAGCATCATTTATTAACTCAAACTCATTTTGATCAGTTTAATTCAGCCCATCTAAAAGTTTGGCTGATCAAATTGATACATGAGAAACATTAGTAAGAGTTGGGCGGGTTGGACTACCCATTCTTTAGCCCATTTTGACTCAATTTGTTTAAACCCAATTAGTAACATTTGGGCGGATTAATAACCAACTCATTTTTTTTAACTCAACACGTTTTATTTTGACCCCACCAAATTCAACACAACACACTCATTTGACACCCCTAAACACATGCCCTATTTATCATACATGAATTTAAATCCATGCTTAAGGAGAAAAAAAGTCATTGGATATTTATTGGCGTTTTATATATGCAGTAAATTGTTTCTTTATACATACAGGTATAATATATTAGGAATTTTGCATTGTATTAAGTTATCTCACTAACTATCTCTAGCTAGCTATCTTGGACATATGTTGATCCCCGGGATATTTTTAATACTCATTCGATGACAATTATACGAGAGAATTAAATTTATATGTCGCAAGATGATATGAATACAAAAATAAGTGTTATATTCTTCGTATTTTCTGTTTGTTATTCTGGCAGGTTAATCTGATATATAATAAATTTTGTAACACAGTTTGGTAGTGAAATGTAATGATCAAACTCTCTAACTTTAGCGATACAATTGCAGGGTCATTTTCATATGTGTACAATGTTAAACGTAGAGGTTCAATTTAGGATAGCGGAAGATCTGTAACGTCATGCAATTTGAAATAACTATGCAGAAGCTTGAAATTGGAAATAGTCATATTTGGAAAAAAATTTAAAATCTGGAAATTTGGCTAAGTATGAAAAAAAGTGAGTTTTTGGTCAACTTTGAACAGTCATAACTCCTAGCTCAGTGTGGGTTAGGTGCATTTCTAGTTATGTTTGCGAAGCTTGTGGAATGGTCTTTCCAACGCCGCCAAGTTTGCTCGATTCTGAGTTTGTATGAGTGAGTTATGCCCTTTTGAAGTTGGGCTGTTGGCTGGGCAGTTAGCCCGAATTTGTAAGGATATTTTGGTCTTTTCCCTAGTCATTTCTTTTGGTTATATTGAGGTGTTAGACTGATTTTAAATCAGTTTTTCCCTTTTAAAAGTGAGAGTTAGGGCTTTTTGAGAGAAGAGAGAAAGAAGAGGAGAAAGAGAAGAAGAAGCAAGGATTCATCAGGATCGTCGTGATTTTTGTCGGTGGTGATCCCTATTAAGGTATGTGAGGTCATAGTGTTGGGTTGGTTCATTCCCCCACACGCCAAACTCGTTTTAATTTCGAGAAAAGATTGGTTGTGTTGTTGAAGTTGTTGGTTGTGTTGTTGAAGTTCCTTGTTGATTTGGGACATGTTTCCGGTTGTGTTTGTGAGTTGAAATCTTTTGTATGTTAAGGGGTTTTATGATTCCAAGTGTTTGGGGCTGGAAACTTTGAAGTTTAGAAGGTTTAGAGTTGGAGAAATTAGGGAGAAAAGTCAAATTTTCGGGAAAAAGGGCTGGGGCGTCGTGCCAGCCAGCGTGCCCCAAAAGGGACTCTGAAGTCCAGCCCTTGGGGCGGCACGCCTAGCGGAGCGCCCAGCAGGCCTCTCTGAAGTTTGAAGTCTGGCGCTCCGCGCCTCTCAGAGCGTCAAAGACGTCAAGTCTTCCCATTCTTTCCCCACTTTTTCATACATGTTCCTTAGCAATGTACCTATGTTTTATAGTTGTTTTCCACACTCCAAGGTACGTCTAAACGTCAAGAACTCATCCATAAACATG